CCCGATCAAACTATCCCTTCTCGCTTTCTCTCTCTCTCTCTTATCTCTTTCTCTCCCTCAGTTATCTCTTTCACACTCTCACCACATAAAAATCCCCTAACTTTCCCGTTTCACAAGAAAACCCCCCAGGAACGACAACTTCCCTCCACTGTTCTCACTCTCTCTCTCTCAAAAATAAAAACCCCTAACTTTCCCCTTTCACGAAAAACCCCCCACGAACGACAAATTGCCCCCACCGTCCACTGTTCTCCACTGTTCTCCCTCTCTCTCTCTCAAAAGTCGCACAGCTTTCAATCAGCCCCTGCCCCCCACTACCGTGGTTTTATATTATAAAATAGTTTACTACTGTTTGCTATTTTATCATCTTCCTTACTGCTGAATGCTTCGCAGTTGATAGTGGGTTGGGTTAGGGCCTATTTTTTGTTTGCTGCTGTTGTTAACTTGAAGTAACAGTCTCTGTTTGTTTGCTATTTTCCTACTTTATTACCATGTTAACTGATACTAATTATTCTTTTTTATATTTACTGTTCTGCTGCTGCTAGATTATTTTCTGATGTTAACTGTTATTTAGGATTGTTCTACTATTGTATGCTAGTTTAAATGTTAATTAGGATTGTTTACCTATTGTTTGCTTACTGTTCTGCTATTATATGCTAGTTTAAATGTTAATTACGATATTGTTTGCTGTTATGCTATTGTTTGTTTTTAATTACTGTTCTACTATCGTTTGCTTTTAGTTTACTATTCTACTATTATTAATTTCTTAATTTATTGTTATTGCTTATATTTTACAGAAATGGAACAAGACGGAAGTTCTAGTGGTAGTGGAATACAAGATGACAAATGTCCGCTTTGGAAATTTGTTACCAAATTGGAGAAAAGGGGGGGAACGACATGAGGAAATTGGAGATGGAGATGTAATTATTGCAGAGAGGATTTTACTGGTTCACACTCAAGAGTTAAAAATCACCTCTTGAGGATAAGTGGGACTGGAATTAAGATGTGTTCCAAGTCAACACCCGAAAATTTAAGGGAGTTTCAAAGGACGTTGGATCAAGCAGAGGCGAGGTTGATGGCTTCTAGGCCTAAGATGTCAGTTTTGCCTACATCTTCGACTGCAAGTACGGCCGGTGTAGGTGCAAGTGCAAGCATGCCGATTGATGCAGGTGGATTTAAGAGGAGGAGGGGGCCTAATACCGTGGAACAAGCATTCAACATGGGAGCAAGGGAGGAATTGGATGCATTGATTGGTAGGATGTTCTTCACGGGGGGATTGTCCTTCAACTTGACAAGGAATCCATATTATGCCAAAGCTTTTGCATATGCCGCAAACAATCCAATTTCTGGCTACAAGCCTCCTGGTTACAATTCCATGAGGACCACTATCTTACAACGTGAGAAAACTCACGTAGAGAGATTGATGGAGCCCATCAGGGGCACATGGCAACAGAAGGGAGTCTCCATTTGTAGTGATGGGTGGGCGGATGCACAAAGGAGGCCCATCATCAATTTTATGGCGGTATGTGAGGGTAAGCCAATGTTCTTGAATGCCGTGAATGTCGAGGGAGAAGTCAAGAATAAGTATTTTATCCAAACACAGCTAGAAAAGTGCATCACAGAGGTGGGACCGAAAAATGTCATCCAAATCATAACCGATAATGCTTCGGCATGCAAGGCCGCGGGAGGGCTTGTGGAGCAAACTTGGCCTCACATATTTTGGACTCCTTGTGTAGTCCATACACTCAATCTTGCTGTCAAGAATATTTGTGCGGCTAAGAACACGGAAGCAAATGCCGTGGCTTATGCACAATTACATTGGATTACAGAGATCTCCGATGATGCATTGTTTATGAAGAATTTTATCATGAACCACTCTATGCGGCTTTCCATATTCAATGATTTTTCCAAGATGAAGCTCCTATCAATTGCCGACACAAGATTTGCCTCGTGGATTATTATGTTGAAGAGGTTTAAGGTCGTCAAGAGAGGCCTCCAAGACATGGTCCTTAGTGATCGATGGAGCTTATATAGAGACGATGATGTGGAGAAAGCTCAATTTGTGAAAGAGAAAGTCCTCGATGATTTGTGGTGGGACAAGATAGATTTTATTCTTGACTTCACCGGCCCAATCTATGAAATGATAAGGGTCACCGACACCGATACACCATGTCTTCATTTGGTGTATGATATGTGGGATACAATGATTGAGAAGGTGAAGCAAGCTATTTACAGGCATGAGGGTAAAAGGGATAACGAGGAATCTCCTTTTTATGAGGTGGTTCACAAGATCTTGGTGGATCGATGGAACAAGGGCAACACCCCGCTTCAGTGCTTGGCACTCTTTAGTTCCAAGGTAATATTTCACATTTTACTCTTTAATGCGAATATTTCAATTAATTTTAATACATGAATTTCTTCTCACAAACATAGGTACTATCATTCCACATGGCTCAATGAGAACGTCAATCGGCAACCTCCAAATCAAGATCTTGAGATCTCTACAGAAAGATCAAAGTGCTTAAGAAGATATTATCCTAACCCCGATGAACGATTGGTGGTGAACTTGGAATATGCTAAGTTTGTGGGGTCTTTGGAGGCTTTTGGTGATCCGGATTCTCTTTCCGATAGAGGACATATGGATCCAAAGTCATGGTGGCTTCTTTATGGTGCAAGTGCTCCAAATTTGCAAGCATTGGCCATAAAGCTTCTAGGCCAACCTTGTTCCTCTTCTTGTTGTGAACGGAATTGGAGTACGTATGGTTTCATTCACTCCTTAAAGAGGAACAAGCTAACCCCGACACGGGCGGAGGATCTTGTTTATGTTCACACCAACCTTCGTTTACTTTCTCGGAATTCAGAAGAGTATATGGAAGGGGAATCAAGAATGTGGGATATTGGTGGAGATGCCTTCGACTCATTTCAAGGAGCCGGCATGTTAGATGTTGCTGCCCTTTCTCTTGACGAGCCCACGATGGAGGCCATTGTGTTTGATGAGGATGAAAGAGTTGAATCCATAGAATAATCTTTTTGATGTTTCAACTTGAAAACTTTATTTTAAGATATGCTTTTGAGTGTAATTTTTATATTTTTGCAATGTTAGTAACTTAGTATTTTGTAGTCATTGAACTAGTTGCAACTTGAACTTTATTCTCTTGTATTTTTATATGCTCAAGATGAAAGTAGTGAAAATTAAAAAATTTAGCCGTGTCGCCGTATCCTATTTTTTGGGGTTTTGCCGTATCCGTGTCCGTGTCGTGTCCGTGTCGCCGTGTCCGTGTCCGTGCTTCATAAGTACCAATTATAAAATGCATGTGTGTTGCTTGTTTCTAGTGAGGTAAGGTTATGGGCAACTTATATAACTAACAGTTCAAGGAAGCTAATGAATTTGTTGGAAAGAGAGGAAGTTGTACTGATGATGAATGCATAAGCATTGGCAGAATGGTGATTTGAATTGGTTTACATGTATTGCTATTAGACCCAAGGGTAAAAGAAAACAAGGGGAGGAATAATTCCAGAAGAAAATGAAGATAACAGAAGGCATGAGAAAGCATTTATTTGAAATCGTTTGAGAAATAGCAAGCATATCAGGGGTATTTAATTTTTATAATTAGGGATCAGCTACTTACTCTCATTGCTGGAATAAAGACCAAGTGACCAACAATAGATCTTGTCAAGGACAAAAGGTGGCATAAAACAGGTCCTACATCAGTAAGTGCTGTGGTTGGTACTTCTTGGCTAGAAAAATTCTTCCCAGTGTCATTACCGCTATTACTGAGAATAATATTACCAACATACAAGTCTTATGCAATACACTGAGGAGAATATTTGTTTCCATAAAGCATATACTTGTACTTCAAATATTTCAGGCACACTTCATAATATTCGTAATGTCACAGTCTGATATTAATTGCCTAAGAAAGGATGACGATCATATATCAATATATTTGAAGTTATTCTCAGGTAAAGTTGGAGAAAATGAAAGGGGAACTGTTCATGAATCATGTGCAATTATCAAACAAGGTTTAGCTGAAGTAAAAGATAGAGAACAGTAGATCACCATTATACTTGAAAATGGAGAAAGATTTTGGATTTGTGAATTAGGATCTGGATAAGTATATGTTGCAGTTGGTTGTGTGGTGGCTGACACATCATAACCGGAGACAGATGGAAAATTTCCCTGAAGTCCATGTGCAGCATTCACGGCAGCATCACTGACATTCTCAGGTTGAGAAGCTGAAGGCATATCAAAACTCCTTGTGTTTGTGCTAGTTATGGATGTCATACCCTCATTTAAGGCAGACTTTAGCTGTTCGCCATCATAGTATTCAGGATTCCTGTCATCACATGTATATTAAATCATAGCTGATGTAGCTTAGCCAGTCAAGAAGATGAGCATTAAGTACCTCGAATTCAAATGATCTAGAGTGATATCTTCTGTCACTGAGGCTATCTCCAAATTAGCTCCAGGGGGTTTTGATGGAAATGATCCAGCAGGTGTAGCATTGACACCAGAACCAAAACTACCAAAGCTCAATTGTGAGAAATCAGCATTCGTAACCTGCAGGTGACTGGGAATTATTACTGCAGGTTTGTCATCAGCAGATGAGGTGTCAAGCTCTTCCTTCTGTAGACTTAACTGCTGCAAATTTGTAGCGGCTAATGATATGTTCTCATTGACATCCTCAACTGAAATAGGAGCATAATCATCAAGTAAGAAATGTGAAAAATACAGATACCTAATGAAAGCATCTAAGATATATGTTGGAGAAGTATACATGACAGTAAGAAGAGAGAGAACAACTAAGTTTATTTAAAACTAAATCATTGTATTTACATGTATTGCTGCACTCCACATGCATAGATTACTTGACAAACTGCTCCCAACATACTCATTTAACACCTTCAAAGTCTAGAATGTTGATCATGCAACACTAAAATTACTAGTCTACTACTACTAGTTTACAACTTTAAGATATCTGACTCAATTGACAAATTAACCATCACATATTAACAAATCATGCATCGTGCATTACCAATTATTAGATCGTACAATACAGATTACAAAATCATAGATCACAGTGAACATAGAATTGCACCATAGGTTCTTCAATCCTACTCTGGATAAAGAACTAAAAATATTTTTGCAGAGGGAATATAACAAATGATGTCATCAACAAAGAATTAAATCCCAGAGATAAACAGAAAGGTTCTGTAATCAAATCCAGAGAAACAACAAAACTTAAATTGTGAAATACCAGAACAACCCTGATTAGCTGACACATGGATTGGTGGCTGTGAAGATCGTAGAAAAGGCAAAGCACAATTGTCATTGGATATGAGACCTCATTGACTGACTTATCATCTAATTTTGCATTGACAACTGAACAAAAAGGATAGCGATGATGACATGTAATTTTCATATATGTTAGTACAGGCTAGACTCTCATGAAATATGACAAGCATATTCAACCTGTTAGGTAACAGCAATAACCTGCACTTTTCATAGAATATCAGCAACTATTGCATATAATAGCACTGTAAAACAAATTTCCTCCCAGATTGAACTAAAAGGCCAAGGGAATCCAGTTTCAGACCATATAATAATCCATTATAGCATCTCCCTACATCTTATTCTATAGTGAATATTAATGAGACATCTTATGAGAAGTTAGAAGGATGAAAAGGGTTATGGAAATTTGTTTACCCTTTTACCCTGATTTACGGTAAACTTAAGCTTTCCTTGCCCTTTTATCTAGATAAATAAGACAGAGAGAATATTTTATCTGTTTATCCCAATGGGTCGGGTAAGGATAACAATTTCTCACCCTGTGTTTTACCCTTTTATCCCGCTAAAACGATAAACATGTAAAATTAATATTACTAACCTCTCTTCTACGTATATTACTACATAATAGTATGTTTAGTTTATGTTTTTTTAATGATTGGCACACTACACCATAGGCCCAGCAAAGTTTCCATACAAGTGGTCCCATCTAAAATTGGAAGCATAAAATTCTAAATCTAATTGCAAGACAACATAATCACATTTCAATGTCCAAGAGTTTAACTCTAGAATATATCACCAACGTGTACCATCCAACTGATCCAAGTAAAGAAACCGAAACATTTTGCGAAGAAACTGGTGATAGATGTTCTACATCGGCGGTCCCACAAGTGAAGCTGCAGAGAAACCTCGTTGAAACGCATATATGCCTAAGTGATAGTTCAAGTTAAATTGTGCAACAGTAAACAGCGAATGAATGTTTGTATACTCATAAACATCCAGAGTAGCATATTTTCCTATGGGAAATGCAAGATCTTTTGGAGAAAAGAAGATGGCAAGAGTTAAAAACACTATTTTATCAACGATTCAATTGTTATTTGGATAATGGGGATGCCATTTAGAGATAAAAATTTACCTTCATGATGTTCAAATGAATTCAAATGAGAATGGTGAGACATGTCATTTAGTGGGCCGTCATCTAGATCAGTACTATCCGCGGAATTATCCTCATCTTGTCCATCAGATATGGATCCTGATCTAATGGAGTCTGATGGTATATAGTCCCCATTAACATCTTCCTCTCGTAACTGGTTCTCATCCAAATAATGTTCTCGTTCTAAGTTAGCCTCATCAGGGAGTAAACTAGATGACTTAGATGGGTCAGCATGCACAGATGCACCAGATATTTCTGGATGGGTTGAACCACTTCCTGCAGATGTCTCACCAACTAGGGACCAATCATCATGTGAAATAAAATGGTCTGCACCAGGGCCAAGCTCATGACTTCTCCCTTCATCCCCTGAAATAGGACCTTGAGAAGAGTGAAACTCTTGAGCTGATTCTGATGGTGCAATTGTTGTCGGTGGTAACATTGCGCTCTGATGTGAGATGTTTGATGTGATTGGATCATGTGACGCATGGAGTGTATCACTTGCCACAGGAGTGTTGGAAGGCTTGCCTTGAGGCCTACCCATCCTAACAATATCTGCCATTGATGGTTGGCCTGGAACTCGTGACCAGTTATGTTGGAATCCCGATGGCGGTTGTGAAGGCAAAGAGGGACCATCAATTATGAACGAACACTGTGTTGTGTTTTGCACAGGAACAGCTTCGCTGTGAAAGAAAACATAGCATCAGAAAGTGATAGATTAGGTAAATTGCTTCATTAATTGATGACAGGAAACCAATCCAAAATATGACAGACACCCATTAAAATCAATATTTGAGCTAACATTTATTGATAACAATTACTAAGTGTACGGGTTCTTCCAGACATGGATACAAGTTATGGAAGGAGAGAAATTCACA